CTCACCGCAAACGGCCACAGAAAATGGGGGGCAGCCGCATGCATCATAGACGTACGAGCGACGTCCATGACCATGCCAATGCGGCGCTCAGCAATCCCATTTTGCTGCGGTGAGTCCGGAAGCGTGAAGGTCTGACGGATGCCCCGTGCACGACAGTAGGCACGCAGAAGGCCAGAGGAGAACTCTCCGCCTCTGTCCGAGTGCAGACGCAGAACAGGAAAGTCCGAGCCGAAGCTCTGCCTGAGCTGGAGACGAGCTGCGCGGATCCAGTCGATCAGCACCTCAGTGACATCACCCTTGCTGCGCAAGGGGAAGACTGTGGTGTAACGCGAGTAGTCGTCAACAACGAGCAGGAAGTAGCGCTCGTGACCCTGTCCACGGACGCGGGCTGGGCCCCACACGTCCATGTGAAGTGTCTGCAACGGGGCCTCTGTCGAAGGAAACTGGGAGGAGTGAGGGGCAGCACGCTGGCGCCCCTCGACACAGGGGACACAGGCAGGGCCAGGGCCCTGAGGAAGGGGAGGGAGGGACCGGGGGAGACCGGACACAAGAAGACGGGAGGCCATACCTCTGAGCCGAAGCAGAGAGGGGTGGCCAAGGCGGTGGTGCCAGAGGAGAGTCTCGTGAGACAGGAGACGACACGAACAGGGGGCAGACTCAGGACCAGACCTGGACGCCGCAGCAAACACCTGACCCGACGTAACTACCCTACCAGACTCAGCAACTGGAGGAGACGCAGTGGTCAGAGTGTACAGGCTCGACCCCGGCTGACGGGTGAACGTAGCCAGGTGTCGGCCTGTGCCAGCCTCTGTACAGTGGGTCACTCTCTGACGTGCAGGAGTGAACTGGTGGACACCCGCATCCTGTAGGTCAGCACCACTCACCAGGTTCGTCGAGAACGAGGGGAGGTAGAGACCAGACAGGGTGCCAGAGGGAGCCGCCGGACACGGGAGGACTGTGGAGAAACGAGACAGGACCGGACCCCCAGAGGGGTCAGCCAGAGACACCGCAACCGGCCGACTAAGCGGCGTGAGTGTGGTGCGGTCCCGAAAGAAGGAGCGAGACGCCCCAGAGTCAAGAGTGAAGGTGAGGGAGGCCGAAGCCGACGTGGTACCTGAGAGAGCAGACTCACCAGTACCTGAGGACGCAGACACACCAGCACCTAGAGCAGCAGCGTCGTAAGCACCTAGGGCAGCAGCCTCACCAGTACCTAGAGCAGCAGTCTCAATGCCCGGATCGAGCTGGAAACACCGGTAACAGTCACCCTCATCACTAATAGACACAGCATACATGGCAGAGAGAATAGCATCAAAGTCCAGATCAAAGATGGCAACCCCCGCCCTAGACAGCTCGTCCCAGCGAGGGATCTCGGAGGCCTCCGGGAACTGGTGACGCCATGCGTCCGTCAGGCGGCCAAAGCAGCGCGGAGTGGGGTGCGCACCCCCACACTGCTCACCCGCACGGTCGCCGGTGCGCAGGACGTAGGTACACGGACCAAAACCCCCACCCCGCTGGCGTACAGTGTACCACTCACGGAGCTGCTGAGGGGACAGGGTCGCACGACCACGCTGCTGCTGCTGGCGCGAGCCACCACCGGAGCCACTCCTCTGCAAAGACCCGCGACCAGCTCCACCACCACCCCCACCGCCTCCACCGCCTCCGCTGCCTCCACTGCCGCCGCCGCCTCCACCGCCTCCTCCACCGCCGCCTCCTCCGCCACCTCCGCTACCACCGCCACCGCCGCCGCGGCCTCCGCCTCCACTGCCGCCACCGAACCCCCCACCCCCACCTCCACCTCCACCGCTACCCCCACTCCCCCCACTGCCTCCACCTCCACCTCCACCGCCCGCTCCTCCAGCTCCCTTGCCCCCCTTGCCCTTGCCAGGGCGGCGTCTCCCGCTAGGGGCAGACGCCGCACCGATGGACTCAAGAACAAGGAGGTCGGCCGAAGCAGCAGAGGCAACAGAGGGCAGCAGGGGGGAGGGAGAACACCCCTCAAAGATGGGGGTGCGCGGGTCACCTCGAGAGGCTCCTACAGTGACTATGCTCTTTTCTATCGCGAGGAGGGCCTTCTCGAGGAGGTCTACAGTGAGTGTGGTGGGACAGACTGAGAGAAAGTGGTCCCTGACTACTCGAAGGGAGTCAGGGAGGCGAGTGACTAGGAAGTACAGAGTGATGTACATGGGGGGGGGGGTTCGCGGTGCAGAAGTCAGCAGGAAGTGCAGCGCGGTAGCGAGTGTCACTAGTGCGGAGGTGCGTAATGAGGTCAGCAACGGTGGGAAAAGAAGCAAGGTCAGGGAAGAGGTACGGCAGCATGAGACGGCTCAGTGCAGCAGTGGAAGTGGAGGAGTAGCGCGCGACTACAGCGGCGTACAAGGTCTGAGCACTCTTGTACTGACTAAAGTGCGCACGCTCGGAGGTAGGGAGGTGGCGACGCACAGCAAGACGTGCAGCAGCATCGCGCGTGGCCCACTGGGAGCGAACAGTGGCGTCAGCATCAGCAGCAGGGGCAGGGGAAGCGCCAGAGGTGAGGTCAAAGAGAGAGAGGCCGTCCGCCCTATCGCACTGTAAGAACAGCTGTAGGTCATCTACCCAGACCTCAAAGTCAATGGCCCGACCCTCAGCGTCAAAAGTGAGGACACTAGGGGTAGCCATGACAGCAGTAGACCAGCAGTGCAAGGAGTAGGGGAAGAGCACGCAGTGACAGAGGGTCTGTGCTCACCGGACAGGGCTGCTCGGGCGGCGCGGCTGCAGGGCGGCTCGGCCGCTGGGCGGCTCGGCGGCTGGGCGGCTCGGCGGCTGGGCGGCTCGGCGGCTGGGCGGTCGGCTGCACGGCTGCAGCGCGGCTCGGCGGCGGGGCGGCTCGGCTGCTCTGCTGCTGGGCGGCTCGGCTGCGCTGCTGTTGGGCGGCTCGGCTGGGCCGCTGACGTAGGGCGGCGGGGCCGCTGTAGAGGAGTGGCGGGGCCGCTGCAGAAGGACGGCGGGGCCGCTGGGTAGTGAGGCGGCGGGGCCGCGAAGACGGGCGGCGGGGCCGCTGCAGAGAAGCGGCGGGGCCGCAGTGAAGGGCGGCGGGGCCGCAACGAGAGAGGCGGCGGGGCCGCAGCGAGAGAAGCGGCGGGGCCGCAAAGTCGGGCGGCGGGGCCGCTGAGTAGGGCGGCGGGGCCGCAGTGAGAGGCGGCGGGGCCGCAGCGAGAGAGGCGGCGGGGCCGCGAAGACGGGCGGCGGGGCCGCTGAGACGGGTGGCGGGGCCGCAGTGAGTGGCGGCGGGGCCGCAGCGAGAGATGGCGGCGGGGCCGCGAAGACGGGCGGCGGGGCCGCAACGAGAGAGGCGGCGGGGCCGCAGAAAAGGGCGGTGACGGGCCGGAGGCGGCGCAAAACCGCAGGTAAGGGCGGCGACGGGCCGGGGCGGCTCGAAGCCGCAGGTAGAGGCGGCGCGAAGCCGCGGGAAGGGCGGCGACGGGCCTGGGCGGCGCGAAGCCGCAGGTAGGGGCGGCGCGAAGCCGCCGGTGAGGGCGGCGCAAAGCCGCGGGTAAGGGCGGCGACGGGCCGGGAAAAGGGCGGCGCGCCGCAGCCGCTAGGGCGGCTCGACGCGACCGTAAGGGCGGCGCGACGGGCCGCTAGGTGCGACTCGACGGGCCGCTAAAAAAAAGGCAGGCGCGACTCGAGGCGCGCTTCGGTGGGCCCAAGGAACAGTCCCTAGGAGGGGACCTGCTCTGATTCCATGTGATTATGAGAACGAGAATGGATGAACTATGGAATGATGTGAGTACAAATATGAAACCCTAATTGGTTGTACCCCCTATGGGATACCCCACTATAGCCTACACAACAGCATAAGCTACAATGTTCTGACAGTTCCTTCCAATGGAAAACGTAGGCTTTCGTCGTAGTACATCCAGATCTGAGCGGTTGTTGCAAGGAGCTTAAATTTGAAGCTCCACGTGTAGAAAGGGATTGAAGTCGTCAACTTTGAAGTCAGAACGAATATTGTTTGCATGGTTGCAATAGATTCTGACTGTTCGCGTTGTTGACTGTCTTGCGCAGGGGCTGAAGCTTGACAGTTGTCAAAGATAAACGATCTCTTGGAGTTGACACGGCGGTCTTCTCCATGGAGAGGAATCCCAGCAACTCCCCTTGCGTAGCTTGAGCCATCGATGCTCATGGCTTGATGGCTCTCAAGAGCGTTGATGCGAGCGACAAGCTGCTCAACGAATGCGGCGCTGACGGAGGTCACCGCTGATGGCGCATTGGTTGTTGCTGGAGGTGGTGGGCCCGGAGAGTGATCTAGAGTTGTAACAGGTATCTAAATAGATAAGTTTGTAAAGGGTTTGTTTTAGGAAGAACAAGAACTTGGCAGAACTTATGATCCACTCTAGCTCTCATACCATGCTGTTATGACTGCAGAACCAAAGTGGATTGGATAAGATTTCTGAGTTGGGGGAAGATTTTGATGTCATTGTAGTGACCTTGTTAATAATAATTGAAAGAGAACAAGATGATTATAAGATAGGAGTACAAAGGTATAAATAGCAAATAGCAAACTAGCTAGCCATATAATCTGAGGGCTACATTCCCTTATTCAACTGTATTGCATAGCTACAGTAACAGTGGCTCCTGCCATTCTCGATAGTTACCTGGTTGCATCGTGTAGATTTCGATACGGTTGCTGGACGGTCAACAGTCACGACCGTTGACTTTCAGTGACTGTTGACCTTCGAGTAACTCTCTGTCTGCCGAATGCTCTATATGAGCTATTTCGATACTAGTGTAGTAGCGCTGTTTCGTTATCAGGTGATGCGCTAGGGGAGAGCCTTCGGGAATGCTATGTGATAACCTTTCGGTTATTCCAACAAAAAATACTGCCGCATCTTCCGTGTCGTCTAGCCTTGTTGCCACCCCTATCGGCTGTCTATTGAGGGGGTCGTTCAGTTTCGTCGAACCTGCTCGATATCGAAAGTGAACCCATTAAAGAGTTCCGCCCATCGGGCTTGACGCCGAGTATGCGTGGCTTGGGTGGAGCAGTAGGTGTCTGGACAGTGGTCGGTCGTAACCAGAGAATCCACACCCTCCAGATAACATCGCCCTCCCTCCCTCCCTCCCTCCCTCCCTCTCTCCCTCCCTCCCTCCCCCCCTCCCCCCCTCCCTCCTTCCCCCCCTCCCCCCCTCCCGCCCTCCCCCCCTCCCCCCCTCCCCCCCTCCCTCCCTCCCTCCCTCCCTCCCTCCCTCCCTCCCCCCCTCCCCCCCTCCCGCCCTCCCGCCCCCCCTCCCCCCCTCCCCCCCTCCCTCCCTCCCTCCCTCCCTCCCTCCCTCCCTCCCTCCCTCCCCCCCTCCCTCCCTCCCTCCCTCCCTCCCTCCCTCCCTCCCTCCCTCCCTCCCTCCCTCCCTCCTGTTATGTGATGCTATCACTTGCATTCACGTCCGTCTGCCTCCCATCACATGTTCGTGCGTTGCATGCGTGGTGTGAGCGTGTGCAAGAATTTGTGTTTGATGTGGTTTGGTTTTTCTGAGTGTGTGTGAATGTTATTTGGCTTGAGCAGATATCTGAAGTGAATCCTCTGCTCAAGAGCTTTCCGACGAACCAAGTATCGCTTCAATCGGAGCACGAACAAGAAAGTTACGAACGTTGGAAGTTCGTATGCTTTTGATATTTGGTTGTGGTGACTATGGGAAGTTGTGGGGTTGACTCCATAAGGGGTATAGACTTTTGGGGGTTGGGAAATTCGTCAACATCACTGTAGATGCTGCCAAGTGGTTGGGAGGTGCCAAACCAGGTTGGCAAGTGTGGCCAAGTTGGGCAAGGTGGATGGCATGGGTTGGTAAGTGACAAAAGTAAAAGTGGGGTTCCTATAGGGAAGGGATTTGGTGTGCTTATGGGGTTTCCTTGGTTGGGGACTCCTTGGGGACCTTTGTGAATCAAGAAAACAGGAATGAAATGACTAAGTGAAAGTTGGGTACAAAAAGGCAAACCCTAGGCAACTGTACCCCATATGTGCTACCCCACTATAGCCTACAGTAGCTATGTCATATAACTCTGACACACCCCCATAGGCAAAGTGGGGGAGAACAAGGGGTCACAAGACCAGTCAAGCAAAGCAAAGCAAGCTCAGGGTGGATCACAAAGTCACCACACATTCCGAGCACAAGTTCAAGGCCACAAGGCCAGTTCACATGCAGGATTACATATATATATAAGGCTAGACAAGCAAGAGCAGGAGTATATATATATGCAACAGTACAAACAAGGTCAAGAGGTGAGCAAGTGAGGCAAGGTAGGTACAAGACCCAGCTGAGTACAGAAGCGCTGATGATCACAAGGTGCAAGTGCCTTGGTGAAGATATCAGCAGTGTTGGCCTCAGAGGCCACGTACGCAAGTCGCAGCTGACCACGCTGCTGTAGCTCACGAGCAAGGAAGTAGCGAAGAGCAATGTGCTTCGTTCTGTGCTCCAGTCTCTGCTCTTGACACAAGGCCAGCATGGCCTTGTTGTCTACGTAGAGCACTGGAGGAGAACGAGGCGGCTCTCCGAGGTCAGTCAGCAGGTAGGTGGGCCAGCGAAGCTCCTGTGCAGCCATGGCCCCGGCGTAGATCTCAGCCTCACAACTGGAGCCGAGAACAGAAGACGAGCGAGTAGCCCGCCACGAAACAGAGCCGGAACCAAGGCTGAAGGTGTAACCCTGTGACGACCGCTGCGTAGCCTGGTCGTCAGCCCAAGAAGCGTCTGCGTGTCCAGTGAGGACCACTGGACTCTGCCCTCCAAGCACAAGCCCCATGCCCGACGTACTGCACAAGTAGCGCAACACCCTCTTCGCTGCAGCCATGTGCTCCGGTCTGTGTCTCCCAGGAGCAACATAGCGTGCAAGAATGCTAAGAGAGTATGCAAGGTCAGGTCGTGTGCAGGTCATCAGGTACATGAGGCAGCCAACAAGCTCTGGGTACGGGCCACTCGACTCTACGGACTCATCCGAAGGCAGAGCTGAGAGCGAGTGGCGAGTAGGCAGAGGAGTGGCCTGAGGCGAGGAGTACGTGAAGCCGAAGCGCTGAAGGACCTGCTGCACCATGTGTGACTGAGTCAGGGTAATGGTGCGGCGTGCTCTGTCCCGGGTGATCTGCAAGCCAAGGTAGCTGCGCAGTTCACCCAGGTCTGTGCACGTGTGTCTCTTCTGCAGCTCGGACTTCACGTGGGCGAGTCCAGCAGTGTCAGCTGTGGCAAAGACCAAGTCGTCGACGTACACGAGGATGTAGAATGGCTGCAAAGAAGTGTCGGTGCGCAGAAACAGCGACGGGTCGGCAGTAGAGGGAGCAAACCCAAGAGCCGCAAGTGTAGTCCTCAGTGTGTCGTGCCACTCACGCGGTGCCTGGCGGAGACCGTAGACTGGCCGCCGGAGGCTCCACTGGGTGCCAGGAGGAAAAGACCCAGTGAAGCCAGGTGGGCGACGCAGCCAGATCTCCTCGTGCAGGCTGCCCTGCAAGAAAGCAGTGCTGAAGTCAAGAGAGTGCAGCTCGTAGTCGCGGTGAGCAGCTATGTGCAGCAGTACCCGAAGAGTGGTCATCTTCGGGGTGGGAGAGAAGGTCTGAAAGTAGTCAACTCCCTGCCGCTGACTGAAGCCACGAGCCACGTAACGCGCCTTGAAGACAGGCGGAGAACCCGGCGGCCGCTTCACCCTGAAAATCCACATGCCACTGACGATGTTCGCCCCAGGCGGGGGAACCTCGTCAACGTAGGTGCCTGTGGACTTCCAGGAAGCCATCTCTGCGTCCATAGCTGCCTGCCACTGAGAGGAGTAGGGACCCTCTATCGCCTCCGCGTAAGAGCGCGGAGTCGGGATGTCAAGTGCATCCGGGTCTCCCTCAGGGGTAAGCAGTACGGACACGAGATGAGGTGAAGCAGCAGCCAAACACTGGAACTCCTCCTGCCTGTCCTCAAGGACGTCCGTGCCAAGGGCACACTCACCCCCGACGGACGGAGGACAGACAGACTCAGACTCAGCAACAAGACTAGCAGCGTAGTCTAGACGACAGCGAGCAGCAAAGTCGACGAGCTCAGTAACTAGGGCAGACGCAGCAGTGGACTCAAAGAAAGGGTCAGTGACAACAGTAGCAAGGAGACGCGTGACAGTAGGACTGGCAGCACGAAGAGAGTCCGACTCCGGGTCAGGAAGAGCAGGAAGAGAGGACTCAGGAGGAGAAGGCAAAGGGGCACGCAGAGGAGCAGTGGACGGACGCAGAGACATCCGGTGCATGCCAGGGACAGGAGGAGGACGCTGACGCGAACCACGAGCACTAGTGCGAGCAGCACGGACAGGCGACGCAGGGCGAGACGCAGGCTCACGACGCTCAGCAAGACCTCCAGTAGGACCAGTGTAGGGAGAAGGAGCGGGCAGTGGGGAGGCCGGCTGTAACTGTAACTGTGACGGGACAGGCTGTGGACACTCTAAGGGAGGAGGAGGACCAGTAGAAGGCGGGAGACCAAGAACCTGCTGAAGGAGCGGAACGAAGTACGGCCGAGGCCGTGTGGCGACTCCAGACACAGCAGGGACAGCACCAGTACCCCCAGCGGCAGCACCAGCGCCAGCAGTACCTCCAGCTCCAGCACCCCCAGCACGACCGCCTCCAGGACCGACAGCAGTAGCCTCAGCGCCAACACCCTCAGCAGCTCCAGCTCCAGTCGTACCCGCAGGCCCAGCAGCTCCAGTACTCTCAGTACGAGCACCTCCGGGACCCGCGGCACCAGCACCCTCAGCAGCCGAAGAACCTCCAGCTCCAGCAGCACGCCTCCAGCGCCGGGCAAACCACTCGCGCAGCTCCTGTGGAGAGAGTGGCTCCCGCCGAGACGAAGCACCCGGAGAACCTCCAGGCTCAGCACCGCCAGACGCCACACGAGCAGGCCCAGCTCCCTCAGGCTCCGCACCCCCAGGCTCAGCACCTCCAGGCGTAGCACCCCCAGGCGTAGCACTCCCAGGCTCAGCACCCCCAGGCTCAGCACCCTCAGCAGCACCAGAGTCACCAGTAACCTCGACAGGCTCGACTGCGTCTACCTGGGACACACCTGAAGGGGCAGGACCCTGAGGGGGGAGGGGGTCTACCGGGGGGGGACCTGGGACAAGGAAGAGCGGTGGCGGGGGGAGGGACGGAGTGCGGTAGGGGAAGAGGCGGTAGTAGGGGACCGACTCGTCAAACGTGACGTCCTGGGAGGACAGGACACGGCGAGAGGTGGGGTGGTAGAACTGCCACCCTGGCGCGTCAGTGGGGGAAGCCAAGGAAGACGCAAGGAGCAGCACGAGGGGACAGCTTGTCCGCAGACAAGTCGCGGACAAACGCCCGAGATCCCCAGACACGGAACGCAGACGCATCGCCAACCTTCCCCGTCCACAGCAAAGCTGGGGAGGTCTCCGGCATGGAGACCCTGGGGTGAAGGTTGATCTGATGCGCCGCGTACCGAACCGCAAACGGCCACAGAAAATGGGGGGCAGCCGCATGCATCATGGACGTACGGGCGACTTCCATGACCATGCCAATGCGGCGCTCAGCAATCCCATTTTGCTGTGGAGAGTCCGGAAGCGTGAAGGTCTGGCGGATGCCTCGTGCACGACAGTAGGCTCGCAGAAGGCCAGAGGAGAACTCTCCACCTCTGTCAGAGTGCAGACGCTGAACAGGAAAGTCCGAGCCGAAGCTCTGCCTGAGCTGGAGACGAGCTGCGCGGATCCAGGCGATCAACACCTCAGTGACATCACCCTTGCTGCGCAAGGGGAAGACTGTGGTGTAACGCGAGTAGTCGTCAACCACCAGCAGGAAGTAGCGCTCGTGACCCTGTCCACGGATGCGGGCCGGGCCCCACACGTCCATGTGAAGCGTCTGCAGCGGGGCCTCTGTCGGAGGAAACTGGGAGGAGTGAGGGGCAGCCCGCTGCCGCCCCTCGACACAGGGGACGCAGGTAGGGCCAGGCCCCGGAGGAAGGGGAGGGAGGGACCGGGGAAGACCAGAGACAAGGACACGGGAGGCCATGCTTCGGAGACGAAGCAGGGAGGGGTGACCAAGGCGGTGGTGCCAGAGGAGAGTCTCGTGAGACAGGAGGCGACACGAACAGGGGGCAGACTCAGGACCAGACCTGGACGCTGCAGCAAACACCTGACCCGACGCAGCTACCTGACCAGACGCAGTGACTGGAGGAGACGCAGTGGTCAGGGTGTACAGGCTCGACCCCGGCCGACGGGTAAACGTGGCCAGGTGTCGGCCTGTCCGAGCGTCCGTGCAGTGGGTCACCCGCCGACTCGCAGGAGTGAACTGGTGAACCCCCGCATCCTGTAGGTCAGCACCACTCACCAAGTTCGTAGAGAACGAGGGAAGGTAAAGACCAGACAGGGTGCCAGAGGGGGCCGCCGGACACGGGAGGACAGTGGAGAAGTGAGCAAGGACAGGACCCCCAGAGGGGTCTGCCAGAGAGACTGCAACTGGCCGGCTAAGCGGCGTGAGTGTGGTGCGGTCTCGAAAGAAGGAGCGAGAAGCCCCCGAGTCAAGGGTGAAGGTGTGGGAGGCCGAAGCCGACGCAGAACCTGAGAGAGCAGACTCACCAGCACCTGAGGGAGCAGACGCACCTAGAGCAGCAGCCTCGCTAGCACCTAGAGCAGCAGCCTCACCAGCACCTAGAGCAGCAGTCTCAATGCCCGGGTCGGGCGGAAAACACCGGTAACAGTCACCCTCATCACTAATAGTCACAGTATACATGGCAGCAAGAATAGCATCAAAGTCAAGGTCAAAGACAGCCACACCCGCCCTAGACAGCTCACCCCAGCGGGGGATCTCAGTGGCCTCAGGGAACTGGTGACGCCAAGCGTCCGTCAGGCGGCCAAAGCAGCGCTGGGTGGAGTGCGCACCCCCGCACTGCTCACCCGCGCGGTCGCCGGTGCGGAGGACGTAGGTGCACGGACCAGTACCCCCACCCCTCTGGCGTGCAGTGTACCACTCACGGAGCTGCTGAGGGGAGGGGATGTCACGAGTGCGCTGCTGGTGCTGCTGCTGCTGCTGGCGCTGACCACCACCGGAGCCGACCCTCTGCGCAGCGCCACCCCGACCAGCTCCACCTCCTCCGCCGCCTCCTCCTCCACCGCCGCCACCTCCGCTCCCTCCGCCACTGCCGCTGCCGCCTCCGCCTCCACTGCCGCCACCGACACCTCCACCCCCGCCACCACCCCCACCGCCACCCCCACCTCCTCCACCGCCTCCACTGCCGCCTCCACCGCCCCCGCTAGCTCCTCCAGCGCCCCTGCCCCCCTTGCCCTTGCCAGGGCGGCGTCTCCCGCTAGGGGTAGACGCCGCACCGACCGACTCAAGCCCAACGAGGTCGGCCGCAGCAGCAGAGGCAACAGAGGGCAAAAGGGGGGAGGGGGAACACCCCTCAAAGATGGGGGTGCGAGGGTCACCACGAGAGGCTCCTACAGCTACTATGCTCTTCTCTGCTGCTAGGAGAGACTTCTCGAGGAGGTCAACGGTGAGAGTGGTGGGGCAAACTGAGAGGAAGTGGTCCCTGACTACGCGAAGGGAGTCAGGGAGCCGGGTGACTATGTAGTAGAGGGTGATGTACATGGGGGGGGGGTTCTTGGCGCAGAACTCAGCAGGAAGCGCAGCGCGGTAGCGAGTGTCACTAGTGCGTAGGTGCGTAATGAGGTCAGCGACTGTGGGAAAGGCAGCAAGGTCAGGGAAGAGGTACGGTAGCATGAGGCGACTCAGTGCAGCAGTGGCAGGGGAGGAGTAGCGTGCAACTATAGCGTCGTACAAGGTCTGAGCACTCTTGTACTGGCTAAAGTGCGCACGCTCAGAGGTAGGCAGGTGGCGACGCACAGCAAGACGTGCAGCAGCATCGCGCGTGGCCCACTGGGAGCGAACAGTTGCGTCAGCATCAGTGGCGGGGGCAGGAGAGGCACCAGAAGTGAGGTCAAAGAGGGAGAGGCCGTCTGCCCTATCGCACTGTAAGAAAAGCTGCAGGTCATCTATCCAGACGTCAAAGTCAATGGCCCGACCCTCAGCGTCAAAAGCGAGGACACTAGGGGTAGCCATGACAGCAGTAGACGAGCAGCGCAAACAGTGGGGTGAGGGCAGTGCTGTGAGAGAGGCGCTGCTCTTACCGGACAGGGCGGCTCGGGCGGCTCGGCTGCAGGGCGGCTCGGCGACTCGGCTGCTGGGCGGCTCGGCTGCTGGGCGGCTCGGCGGCTGGGCGGCTCAGCGGCTCGGCTGCTGGGCGGCTCGGCGGCTCTGCTGCTGGGCGGCTCGGCTGCTGGGCGGCTCGGCGGCTCGGCTGCTGGGCGGCTCGGTGGCTTAGCTGCTGGGCGGCTAGGCTGCTGGGCGGCTCGGCGGGGCCGCTGAGAGGGCGGCGTCCGGGGCCGCTGGGAGGAGGCGGCGGGGCCGCTGAGAGGAGGCGGCGTGGCCGGAAAGGTAGGTGGTGGGGCCGCGTCAGGGGCCGCGACAGGGGCCGCGTCAGGGGCCGCGTCAGGGGCCGCGGCAGGGGCCGCGTCAGGGGCCGCGGCAAGGGGCCGCGTCAGGGCGCCGCCAGGGGCCGCGGCAGGGCCGCGTCAGGGCCGCGTAAGGGGCCGCGGCAGGGGCCGCGTCAGGGGCCGCGTCAGGGCCGCGTCAGGGCCGCGGCAGAGCCGCGTCAGGGCCGCGTCAGGGGCCGCTTCAGGGCCGCGGCAGGGGCCGCAGCAGGCCGCGTCAGGGCCGCGTCAGGGGCCGCGGCAGGGCCGCGTCAGGGCCGCGGCAGGGGCCGCGTCAGGGCGCCGCGTCAGGGGCCGCGTCAGGGCGCCGCCAGGGGCCGCGGCAGGGCCGCGTCAGGGCCGCGTCAGGGCCGCGGCAGAGCCGCGTCAGGGCCGCGTCAGGGGCCGCTTCAGGGCCGCGGCAGGGGCCGCGGCAGGCCGCGTCAGGGCCGCGTCAGGGGCCGCGGCAGGGCCGCGTCAGGGCCGCGGCAGGGGCCGCGTCAGGGCGCCGCCAGGGGCCGCGTCAGGCCGCGTCAGGGCCGCGTCAGGCCGCGTCAGGGCCGCGATAGGGCGCCGGCAGGGGCCTCGTCAGGGCGTCGCCAGGGGCCGCATAGGGGGCGTGTGAGAGGCGGCGTAGGGGCCGCGTAGGGGCAGCGTAGGGGCCGCTAAAAAAAAAATTTAGGGCAGGGCGCAATGTGCGCGGGCAGCTAAAAAAAAAATTCTTATGGTGGGCCCTTAGGAAGGAACGGTCCCATGTAGGAACCCGCTCTATACCATGTGAATCAAGAAAACAGGAATGAAATGACTAAGTGAAAGTTGGGTACAAAAAGGCAAACCCTAGGCAACTGTACCCCATATGTGCTACCCCACTATAGCCTACAGTAGCTATGTCATATAACTCTGACAACCTTCCCTCTCGTCCTCCTCTTCCCTCCCACCTGGTTAATTGCTACTCTTACTTCCTTGTGTGAAAATTGTGTGAACTTTGTGATTGAGTTAAGATTCTATGGCAGCATACCCCCTAGTGCGCCGAAACTGATACCTCAAGAAATACTTCACCATATCGTACGATTCAAATTGGTAATTGTAGCCACAGACTAGGGCTACAACATATCTGAGTTTGGTGAAGTTTTAACCGTGAACTTTTCGTCGACGGCGTTTCTTGTGAACTCGACTTTTCTGTCCAGAAACTAGGCCCAACGATTTTGAGATATTTCGGCTCCTAATCTTCATAGACTCCGTCCTTAGTCACTAACACCTCCCTCCCTCCCTCTCCCTCCCTCCCCCTCCCTCCCTCCCCCTCCCTCCCTCCCCCTCCCTCCCTCCCTCTCCCTCCCTCCCTCGCTCCCTCTCCCTCGCTCCCTCGCTTCCTCGCTCCCTCGCTCCCTCGCTCCCCCCCTGCCTCGCTCCCCCCCCTGCCTCGCTCCCCCCCTGCCTCGCTCCCCCCCTGCCTCCCTCCCTGCCTGCCTCCCTCCCGGCCTGCCTCCCCCCAGGCCTGCCTCCCCCCCGGCCTGCCTCCCCCCCGGCCTCCCTCCCCCCCTCCCTCCCTCCCCCCCCTCCCTCCCCCCTCTCCCTCCCCCTCTCTCCCTTTCTGTGTGTGCAGTTATGGGGGCGTTGTAATATGCCGTTGCATAATAATATATGATATAATGCAATTTACTTGTTGTGTAGTAACATTGTGTTGGTGAAATACAGGCCACCCAAGACCTTCCACATCATGGCCTAGCTACAAGGGCAATTGCACCCTCACTGTAGTGTCACTGCTTGCCAACGGCTACTAAACAATCAGCATCTTCCCGCAAAGTGCATACTTGTTATTCACATGCCCAACCATTGCGTAGGGTGTTATTATCAAACCATCAACTGCCTGACGATCCATACCCAACGTACTGCGCAGGTAGCGCAACACCCTCTTAGCTGCATCCATGTGCTCTGGTCGGTGTCTCCCAGGAGCAACATAGCGTGCCAAGATGCTAAGAGGGTATGCCAGGTCAGGTCGAGTGCAGGTCATCAGGTACATGAGGCAGCCAACAAGCTCTGGGTACGGGCCACTCGGCTCTACGGACTCATCCGAAGGCAGAGCTGAGAGCGAGTGGCGAGTAGACAGAGGAGTGGCCTGAGGCTATGAGTACGTGAAGTTGAAGCGCTGAAGGACCTGCTGCACCATGTGTGACTGAGTCAAGGTAATGGTGCGGCGTGCTCTGTCCCGGGTGATCTGCAAGCCAAGATAGCTGCGCAGCTCACCCAGGTCTGTGCACGTGTGTCTCTTCTGCAGCTCCGACTTCACGTGGGCCAGCATTGCCCGGCATTCGTCCCAGTGACCGTGCTGCTCTGCCCTGCTGCCAGCCCCTTTTGAGGCGTTGCAAGAGATTTACCCGTATAACATATTGCCTAACCCCACCTGCATCACATGCTGACCCGCCTAGTGCCTAACCCCACCTGCATCACGTATTGCCCGGCATACGTCCCAGTGACTGTGCTGCTCTGCCCTGCTGCCAGCAGCGCCACTCCAAACAGCGTCCCTGCCCATTTTCCCAGCACGTCCTGATGAGGAATCCAGGACGAGAAGGGTGGGAGGTGTGAGGTGGGAGGTGTGAGGTGGGAGGTGTGAGGTGTGAGGTGGGAGGTGTGAGGTGTGAGGTGTGAGGTGTGAGGAATGGAGAGAGGTAGGGAGAAGAAGGGAAGGTGCGGCCCATCATAAGCCTAAGCATCACTTCAGACTGTGACCCTGCCCATCCGCCCGGCACGTCCTGAGGTAGAGTGGGGGACAGATTAGGGTGGGAGATATCGAGAATTTCTGAGAGGTAGGGTGAGGAAGGGAGGGTAAGGAATAACGTTCTCTGCCCTTCGGCCCAGCACATGCTGAGGTTGAGCAGGGGACAGACAAGGGTGGGAGATACGGAGAAGAGGGGAGAGGAAGGGAAAGTGTTGCAGAGCGTTAAGGCCCAGAGCGACTCCAAACAGGGTCCATGCCCTTCGGCCAAGCACGAGGTGAATTTTGAGTCGACTCAAACGTCACCTCGTAAGTCCTGAGCGCCACTTCGTTTCAAACAGGGCCCCTACCCTTCACACTAACACCCTTCCCACTAACACCCTTCACACTAACACCCTTCAAACTAACACCCTTACCACTAACACCCTTCCCACTAACACCCTTCCCACTAACACCCTTCCCACTAACACCCTTCACACTAACACCCTTCACACTAACACCCTTCACACTAACACCCTTCACACTAACACCCTTCACACTAACACCCTTCACACTAACACCCTTCACACTAACACCCTTCCCACTAACACCCTTCCCACTAACACCCTTCCCACTAACACCCTTCCCACTAACACCCTTCCCCCTGCCATCCTTCCCCCCTGACACTCTCTCGCCCCACACCCTGGTTCCATCTGCCTGAATGTACAAGCCTCACCGTGAGCAGAGCAGCACGTGCGCGTTGCTGATGCTGATGTTGGCACACACTTCAGTCGAAACTCACGTGCCCCTAAAAGTGCGCCAACAACACGCTGTCCCATCAGCACCCAATATGCCCAACCCTCACCGTGAGCAGCGACGTGAAATAAGTGAGTTTTTGAGACGTCTATAAAACTCAGTTGTTTCACCTGTCTCATCAGCACCCAATATGCCCAACCCTCACCGTGAGCAGCACGTGCGCGTTGCTGATGCTGATGTTGGCACACGCTTGAGCGGCGCCGGGCGGCAGACTGGCGGAGTGACAGACAGCGCCGGACACAGCAATGATTGCCACGCTGATGACCACGCTGATCAGCAGCGCTAAGAAGAGTTCCAAGAAGGAGTAATGGCTGGCGGTCTGAGGGGTGGGAAGCGGTTCAGAGGGTGATAGGATGGGGACAGGTGTAGATGATTGCCGCAGAAGTGATGGTCACAGAAATGTTGATGACCACGCTCATCAGCAGCGCCAGAGCGAGCTCCAATAGAGAGTAGTGGCTGGCAGTCTGAGGGGTGGAGGAAGGGGTTGAAAGAAGGGGAGGGGAAGGGGTTTGGTAGCATGGGGTCGGGAGGGAGACAAGTGCTGATGCCTAGGCTGAGGAACAGCGCCAAGGCGAGATTGAGGAGGGAGCAATGGTTGGAGGTCTGAGTGGAGGGAAGAGGGAGGGGCTAGAATTTAAAGAGCGGATTTGAATTGAAAGGGGGCGGTGGTAAGTGGAGGGGTAAGAGGGGGTGAGGAGACAGGTGCTGATGGCGATGCTGAGCCTCAATCGCTTGGAAAAATTACCTGACTAGCTGATTTAGCCTGATATAGAATAGGAGGCTGATTCTCACCCTATCAGCATGGGAGGTGTAACCTATAGGCACGTGTGACTTACCCTGATAGCTCGGGTGGTCCCCGCATGCTTGCGGCTGAGAACAATGGCGGAGTGAAGGTAGAGATTGTGCCTGGAGGGAGAGCGGGGGAGGCATGGTTGGGGAGAGGTGAGGGGGAGAGAGGAGCAGAGTGGGGTAGGGGTTATGAGACGACTCAAAACCGCATGCTTGCGGCTGAGAACAATGGCGGAGTGAAGATAGAGATTGTGCCTGGAGAGCAGAGAGGGGGAGAGTAGAAGGGGGGAGGGGAGGCAGGGCAAGAGAGGTTGTGCGTGGCAGGATGCACGGTTGGTAACGGGAGAAGGGGAAGTTGAGTGATCGGGGGAGCAGAGCATATTGAAATCACTGATGAGAATTCTCAAAAGTGATTCCAATATGCGCGGCAGGATGCACGGTTGGTAACGGGAGAAGGGGAAGTCGAGTGATCGGGGGAGCAGAGCAGGAAAGATGTTGCACCAACCGTGGTGGTTTGGGGTTGGGATAGAAACGGACCAGATGAAGAACAGAGAGAAGGGGACGACATTGTGCAACGCATGCAAGGGGAGGGGGGAAGGGGGAGCGGTTGGGACGATGGGATGGGGGTTTCGAAAAGGGGGAGGGTGGGGGAATGGAAAGGGAAAGTGGATCGCTAACTCACGGCATGACGGTGGCCCCAAGGATTGAGATGGCGACTGCAAGTGCTCCCACATTTTGCAGCTGTCAGGTAAGGATGGGCGGGGGAAGTGGAGGATAGGACTTTTGAGACGTCTCAACAGGTTGCACATCGTTTTGGTTTGGCACATGACCGCGCATGGCCGGGGTTGTGGCGAGTGAATATCTTTTGCCAAATGTGCTGCTGCCACGTGTGCTGCTGCTACTGGTGCTGCCTGCCATGTATGCATGCAGCATATTCCTTCTTAGCGTATAAGCTCTTTGAACACAAGAGCCACCTGAAGCATTCTTCTTCCACCTGAGGCCACCCGAGCTTCTAGTCTCACCTGAAACACCTGATTGCACTAAAGGCACCACCTGCACCACCTGAATACTCACCTGAGGCACCTGATTGCTCACCTCAGGCATCTGACTTCTCACCTGAGGCACGACCATGCCCTTGAAGAGTTCTCCCACGTCTGACAGCTGTAACGCCTTGACCATCTCCGCTATAAAGCACCCCGCTATAAGCAGTACCATCAGCGCCATTATCGTTTCCAGAGGCCGCGCCTATTAAGGCGGAAGGGGGAGACAGGGGGGGGGGGGGGGGGTAGGGGAGCGGAAGGGAGACTGAACTGCGAGTAATGAGCCGATTTTCTTAGCGTTTCAGACACCAGAAGACTTTTTAGGCGCCTCAAAAAGCGGGAGGGAGACTGAACTGCGAGTAATGAGCTGATTTTCTTAGCGTTTCAAACACCAGAAGATTTTTTAGGCGCCTCAAAAAGCGGAAGGGAGACTGAACTGTGAGTAACGAGCCGATTTTCTTAGCGTTTCAAACACCAGAAGATTTTTTAGGCGCCTCAAAAAGCGGAAGGGAGTCTGAACTGCGAGTATTGAGCCGATTTTCTTAGCGTTTCAAACACCAGAAGATTTTTGAGGCGCCTCAAAAAGCGGAAGGGAGTCTGAACAGCGAGTATTGAGCCGATTTTCTTAGCGTTTCAAACACCCGTAGCAAGGGAAGGGCAGGACGGTGACTTGCAGTTGTTGTCGCATCGAGTCCCCATCGAGTCCCTATCGAGTCCCCATCGAGTCCCCATCCAGACATCGCAGGGTACCACCATCCAGTAGTTCCTCAGACGATGCGTCATCAGACGAGACATATGGGGTTTGTTACCAGTCTTGTGCTGTGACTGAATCTGAACAGGTCGAACGAATGTCGAGAGCTGGTTCCGGCGGGGAAGGAGCACTGCACTCACCCCGAATCTCACGAGAGCAAGGAGCAGCAGAGCGCTGCAACCCGTTATAAGCACCCTGGCCCACAGGGGGATGCGGAAGAGGGGGTTGAGCGAGGTGAATTTTGAGGCGACTCAAAAGTCAGGAGCACTGCACTCACCCCGAATCTCTCGAGGGCAAGGAGCAACAGGGCGCTGCAGCCCGTTATAAGCACCCCGGCCCACAGGGGGATGCGGAAGAGGAGGTTGAGCGCGATGGCTGTACCCACCACTGGCGGGAGGAGAGAAAGGGGATGGGGGAGGGAAAGGTACGGGGAGGTAGGGGGGAGGAGAGAGGCGTGAAGGAACCGAGAGGTTGAGAGTGATGGCTGTGCCCACCACTGCAGGGAGGAGAGACGAAGAGAAAGAGAGGAAAGGGCGGGTGAATCAGGGAGGTGGTATGAAACATTAAGAGGAGGTTAAGAACGATGGCTGTGCCCACCACTGGAGGGAGAAGAGACGGGAAGGAAAGCGGTTTCGTGAAGGATCAAATTGAATCATGTACTTCGGTGCGGATCAACCGTCGAGTTCACCTCACCTTGGGGAATGTCGCTGGCGATGACATTGATCTCTGCTATGACCCACAGCACCACGTTGAGACCCGAAGGGTACTCCAGGCGGCAGTGCTGCGCCAAATGCTTGCCTGGCGTGCCACAGGAAGAAGAGGGAACGTTGACAAATATCCAACAAAGGATAGAGGAACAGGGAAGGAAAGAAAGAGAGGAGGAGTGGGGCATCGATAGCAAAGGGGAGGTTACTGCAGCTGGCAATGCTGGCCTGTGTGCTTCCTTGGAGAGCCAAATGGTAATGATGTGACCAGTAACGGTGGTGCGTTTTAGTTGGTACATGATTTGACCGGGAAGATGTGAGGATGGTAGCGTGGCTTACCTGTGACAATGCCGAGGGTAGCTGCCTACCTGTGACAATCCCGAGGTTAGCTGAGAGTGACTGTATGAAGAGGCCTGCTATCGAGGCGAGCAGCAGGGCCCACAGGAGCTGTAAAGAGGAGAGGAAAGAGAGAAAGAAGGAGCACATAATGTATATCATTATATCATTGCTTAGCCGGCGCCGAAAAACGATAGTCTGGCCCGAACGGAAACAGCAGGCGCCTTGAGAAGAAAGAGCTCGAAAGGGAGTGTGTAGCCACCTGAAACCTGAGCTCTGATTCAACTCAGATTTGCTCTATCCACCTTCCTTTCTCGTTTTTCATTTCATGCACTATCGGTTCCTTACCCTTCATTCCCCTCCCACTCTTCCAGCCACCTTTCCCCAGCCGTCCTCTTCCCCCCTCACCTCCCCCACCCCTCCGATTTCTTCTCACCTCAGCCTATTTCACATTTCCATTCATCCACTTTCTCCGCACCCAGCCATCCCCTCCAGCCTCTCTTTATCCCAGCCATTCTCCTCTCCTCCTCCCATCCACTTTCTCTCCGCCCAAGTCATTCTCACCGTGAATTTGTATGCAGCCCCCGCCTTCAAATCGCTCTCGACTGAATCAGGGATCAGTTTATAGCGGGGAAGAACGCGAGGCATAGCAGGATGCGATTATTTTGGCAGGTGTCATGAATCGCGCTTGCGTCTGCTAGCTTGCTTGCTATAGTGTGGCATGGGGGAGAAGGGGAGGCGCCTGGACGAGACGCCAGGAAGGGGTGGGCTGGGAAGATCGGGGGTATTGAAGTGGATGCTTCAACAGGAAACTTGAGGTTATTAGGATTAGTACGAGTAGACTTACAGTTACCGGGGTCGATGTAAGCTACGGCGACAAGAAAGCCTGGGCCCACATATGACCAGCACTGACGCCACCCTTTGCCCTGTAATCACAACAACATCGACAGGAGGTTAGTGAGATAGGCAAGTCTCACACCACGTCTCGCGCATTTCGAGATGTGTCTCAAATCTGGACCCACATACGCCCCGAACTGAAGACACCACCACCCCTTGCCCTGCGGTCCCAACAACATCGACAGCCGGAAGTGAAAGGCGAGAATGTTGGGGGCCCACAGGATGCGATGGGACGAAAGAGGAATGACATTACCAGCCTGCCCGGTCTCTCAGTCACCCAACCTGCAATCTGAAATCTGCACCCTCTCGAAAAAACGAACGATCTTGTCTACGCTCCTCCGACGACATCATCGATACCGTGACTGGTCCTAGTACCATCGCCACCATTCGGGTGCATCACGAAACGCCTCAACGTGGTTTTACACGAAGGGATGCGATGCACGCCTAGTACAGCCGTTGCTCTCACCTCAGGCACTATCACTTTCCGCGATGATTCCCCCTCCCCATTCCCCGGCTGCGGTGACACGTCAGCGCCCCTCGACACGGGCCCCATTGCATAAGCTGGAACTCCCTTTTCGGAAGGATAAGATATTTCGCGCAGGAAACTTTCCTATTTAGTTCTGCGGTGTCCTATTTAGTTCTATACTGCTCTTCACAGCGTGACGAAGTGAGATTCAAGACCAAGCAGTACGTTGCACGCGCAGTTGCACTAACATGGCATCGGGACCTTGTATGACCGCTTTGTTCATTGCCATGTCACATTGTCCGCTCCAGCCAACATCGTAATCTACAAAGAGGATCGGCAGGAGACCTGCTAAATACGATTACGATGAGGACCTGCTATAATTACTAATGAATGTTGTTCTGGAACAGCTAAGGATGCTAGAGAGACGAGTAGCACGAGGCAGACGAGACAAGCCGAAAAAAGGCACAGTGTGAGCGCAAGGGAGCTCAGGAGACTAAATATACAAACAAGCTCAGTATCCGTTGGGAGTATCCACAACCTGCAGTGACCAAGCTCAGCAGTTCTTTCAAGGCTTGCCGAGCAACAGCAGGTCTCCTGGAAATGTACACAATTATTTGTGCTCATGGTGGGAGTGCATGTAAATCGTCGTCGTGACGCGTTCCTTCGAATCCCAGATTGGACGTCCTTGTTTTGGAATCCCGTGTCCGGAAGTGGCGCTACACCGAGCCGAAGTAGCACTAATACTTTTCGTCGAGCTTCGCGAAACCAGGCAGCGCCCTACCACGTGCGACAAGTAGATGTGTAGTAACTGCTGGTTTCGTACATGCTAGACTGGCTGCTATTGTCAGTAGCGAAAACAGGTCAGTAGCGGGTATGTGAGCTTACAAGTATTCAGCACAACCATAAGTTTTCCTCTCTACATGGCATTCAAATTCCCCATTAACATTTCTTCCTAGTCATTGATAGTGTTACGAGTGCAATTGAGTGAGCGAGCGAGAATTGCACTATCGAAGCAAAAGTACAATGAGCGAAGGAATGAGCGAAGAATATATAGCGAAACTATAGTGGTAACGGTAATGCGTGGGAATTGAGGTGCGCGACGGGCCTGGCGCCGAGGTTGGGAATTGTCGCGGCGGAGGTCCGGGGCGCGGGTTACCAACCGAACCGTGAGGTTGGGTCGCGTCGTGAACAAATGGCGGGAACAGTGTCGTGGCGAGTGTCGCGAGTGGTAACGGATTACTGTTGGGTGCTGTTGGCGGGAACAGTGGTGTACGCGCTGAGCAGGGACGCGAAGTAAGGAAAAGGAATTTTCCTTACACTACCCCCCTCCCCAAGGAGGCCCCTCTTACGAGAGCGCGTGTACATCTCGGAAGTTTCGGCTTCGCAGATACTCGGTGAGGACAGGGTGAGTCTCAATTTTATCTAGGGGGACCCAGTTATCTTCCGTGGGCGTGCGGTCCTTCCAGCGGATCAGGAATTCGATTCTGCGGGCTCCCCGTGGGTCACGTACTCGATGGCTCGGGATTTTCTCAGGCGTGATGATTGGCTCAGTCGGTGGTCGGGTCATGCTGGCGGGGCGGTTGCGGGGCAGTTGGCTGGTGGATGGCACGTATGGGCGAAGCTGACTGACGTGGAATGACGGGCTGACGTACCAGTCAGCAGGGAGGAGGAGGTGGGCGGTGACGGGTGTGATCATGTGGCTGATGCGAAATGGCCCGCAATATCGGGGGCGGAGTTTTGGGGTGATGGGTAGGCGAAGGTTGTGAGTGTCGAGTAATACGAGGTCGTCAGGTTGGTAAGTGACGGGGCGGCGGTGTCGATCGGCGTTGCGCTTAGCGATGACGTTTGATTTTTTTATGGCTTCTGCTGCTCGGGTCCGTGCTGCTTGTAATATTTCTGCGAATTGTTGTGCGCGTGGGACGGGGTTGTCGGGATTCGGGGTCATGGGTACTGAGGGGTCTTGTCCGTAGTTCAAGTAAAACGGTGACTGTTGGGTCGTGGCGGAGGGCGAATTGTTGTACGCGAACTCGATGAGTGGCAGTTGCTGTTCCCAGGTGGTCGGGTCGTCGCACGTGGCTCGGATGAGTTGTTCCATGGTCTGGTTTGTCCGTTCTGTCTGTCCGTCGGTTTCGGGGTGGTACGAAGAACTGAACTGCAGTCGCGTGCCAAACTGCTGCCATAGGTTCCGCCAGAAGTTGCTGGTGAATTTCGTGTCCCGATCGCTGATGATTGCTGCTGGTATCCCGTGCAGTCGTACGACGGTGGCGATGAAGAGGCGGGCTGTTTCTTCGGCTGTGATCGATTTCTTGCAGGCTGCGAAATGTGCCATTTTCGTCAGTCGATCGACGACGACCAGGATCGCGTCATTCCCACTTGCTCCGGCCGGTAACCCCGTGACGAAGTCCATCGTCACCTGCTGCCAAGCACGCTCTGGGGGTGGTATCGGCTGCAACTGTCCCGCCGGCCGCTTCCGTGGTGACTTCATGATCTGGCAAGTGGGACACGATGCCACGTGTCGCTGCACGTCGGTCAACATTTCGGGCCAGTAATAATACCGCTGTAGCTGCTGCCGTGTTTTCTCTACCCCGAAATGTCCCGAGGTAACTCCGTCGTGTGCCTCCTATAATAGTAACTCTCGTAGCAGGGTGTACCCTGGTACCCAGATGCGGTCGGTCCCGGCTTTTACGTAATAGACTCCCTTGGCTGCTGCGAACTGCTGCGAATTTCCTCCTGTGAAGAATGGGTCCGTTTGATATCCGTGGGTAAATAGTCCTGTCAGTAGCGGGCTGGTCTGGGCGAGTAGTATCGCGTGGATTTGGGCAGTGGGGCGGGTCAGTGCGTCAGCGATGTTGGATGCTCCTTTTTTGTAAGTGACCGTGTAGTGGAAATTTGACTCGAGGAAAACGAGCCAGCGAATCTGTCGTGGGTTGAGGTGGGGCTGTGCGCGGAGGTACTGTAGTGATCGGTGATCTGTCCGTACTGTCACGTCTGCGCCGGTCAAGTAACAGCGCTACACCTTGAACGCATGCACGATCGCGAGCATTTCGCGGTCGTGTATCGGGTAGTTTTTTTCGGGCGGGTGCAGTTTTCGTGACTCGTATGCGATGGGCTGTAGGCCGTTGCCGAAATCTTGTAGCAGTACGGCTCCGATGGCGATGTCACTTGCGTCGGTAACTACTTCGAATGGGCGGTGGGGATCGGCGATGCGCAGGACGGGTGGTGAACAGAGAACATTTTTCAGGGCAGAGAAGGCAGCATGCTCTTTCTCCCCCCAAGTAAAAGCGACCCCCTTGCGTAGCAGATCCGTCAGTGGGGCTGTTAAGCGAGCCATGGCGGGGACGAACCGACGGACGTAATTAACAAACCCCAAAAAACTCTGCAGCTCCGTGATGTTGGTCGGGGGGTGCCAGGCTTTGACTGTGTCCAGCTTCTTCGGGTCAATCTCAACCCCAGCCTCTGAAATAACGTGCCCTAAGAATTCTAGCCTGTCCCGAAAAAACTCACACTTAGAACCCTTGGTCAGTAACCGATGCTCCTCTAAAATCTTAAACACTGCTTTGAGATCTGCTAAGTGCTGCTGCTTGTCGCGACTGTAGACGA